AGCCGAACTCAACTGATCCTCGTTTGAAGCGAGAGAAGCCAAGAGCAAGCTCAAATACTTCGCCCGTATCGCATCCATGCCAGCAGCACGCTGGCCCAAAGCGATGTTGGAGATGATTCTCCTGGAAGGGTAGCCAACAAGGTCCTACGCGAGAATGGAGGAACTCAAGCGGAAGTTCGGATGTGACACACTTCAGATCGAACATGATGAGCGAAACCGAGCCCTCCTAGGTCCCTATTATCGCCAGATCAGCGAAAGGATAAGGACCACGCAAGACCTCGCCTGGGTGGCTGGGATATCCGGTAGAACAATGCTCAGAGTATATCGCCATTATAAAGACTCGAGAACATCACCGGTTCATATCTACGACAACAGCAGAGGATCTGCCCTCCTGGCGCTTGCCAGAGCGGGCTCCCTACCTACCAGGGTACACAGATCGCTCTTCTCCACCGACCCAGAAACGACATGCAATAAGTGCGGCGTGTATCCGGAAACACTCGAGCACGTAATCTTCAATTGCAATGAATGTTACTTCACGACAGACGAACTCGCAATCAAACTGGGTTTGACCACAGAGCTTAATCGCCATGCCGTAGAGTCAACGAAGCGCCTCCTCGAAAAATGGGAGCGTGAAACCTCTGGATCCGCTGAGCCAACTCGCGCCTGAATCGAAAGGTTGATGTGTACATACTATGATACCATCTGATCCAAATAAACCATTAAACCATTACGGAAGCTGCGTCGCTGGAGATTCCGCTGATGTCCGAGGGATTCAGATCTGTGGCTGCGAGCGATTCACGCAAAACTTCCTCCAAGTACGAGGCCGCTGCGGTATCGGTGAACCTTGACAGCAGATGAACGGATTTCCCCTCTATGCTCGGAATCGAACGGGAACAATGCAAGGTTATTCCTGATTGATTTACCAAACTATTAGAATATAATTGAATGCCGCACAGCTCTTCATCCGAAATTCGCGGGAAATTCCCGGGGTTACTTCCCAAGGGAGCCCAAGAGAATCCCGAGAAACCTCTTCCTTCCGTGCGTCCACTCGTCCGCAGTGATGGTGAAGACAGCCCCCGCCTGCTTCAGCTTCGACATGTCCTCCTTAAGTCCCGTTTGCACCCGCCTGCGGATCGATGTTCAATGTCCATTTTTGACCGAGGCGACGTGCATCATGAGTCTTGACTCCGGGGTATTCAATAGAGTGAGAATTCCGCATACTCGGGGCGTTAAGGAATTTCCTTCCGTCAGAGCGAAGATCGTTGGACTCACTTAGCTTCAGAATCCAGAGTGCGTCTAGCCATTTTCTCGCTCAAGGGGCCCAGTCGTGCGAGCCTAAAGAGACAGCGCATTATCATGGAGCCGAAAACCGAATATTGAGGACAGTTGTCAGGTCGAAAGAATTCATGTAAATTCGCGCGCTCTTCATTCGAATAGCGCAATCCATCCATACTCAGAAATGTCACTAAACATACACATGACAGACGCTCCGTCAGAGTGGTCGCCGGTGTCGTAGCGAAATGGTTTTCGAAGATGCTCTTACCTTGAGTATCGAAAATTTTGGAATTCAGCAGCCTCCTCATCGGCCACTTCGTGGAGCTGCTCAGATCCTCGCTCACCCCTAGATGGAGCTCACGCGACTTCGAATTGTCGTTTCGATCGATTTCGATCTGCACGTTTCATTTACAGGAAAAAACCGCCGATGGTGAGTCTCTGGTCGGTGGTAGCAGATCCGATTGCGATTCACTAGATTGCACTCCTACCTTGGAGTCGGGAAGATTGTTGCCTTGCGGAGTCGGCGCTGGGCGTCGATGGTGAGTAGGATCCGGGTGAATTCACATTGAGAACCCGGATCCATAAAAAGATTCTATCCAAAGAAAACAACGAGACCATCGAGCATAACAGCTTCCGAAGACAGGCCAATCACGAAGTTGACGAAGATCCGAACTTCGTTACAGGGGAATCGGCACCAGAATCTGACACCGATCGCAATCAACTTTTTCGGGCTGATCCACACAGCCAAGGTTTAACGTCCCGGGTACTCTTATTCTCATTGCTTCCGAGGACGGATCCATAGAGCAAATGTACCCAGGAGGATCAAGGCTGAGTACCTGCATTTTTTTCCGGCAGCAGGGATCGAACCAACACCGCGCGAGCGGCGTCGTTGCGGCTATGCACGTTTGCACGAGTAGTGACAAAGGCGCTGACCAATCGAACACCCGTCGGTGACCGATCGCAATCAGGAGTATCACAACCGACCACTTGAGCCTCTTCGAGGATGTTCGTTCCTTTTGGCGAGCTACTTCAGCCTTGATCTCCGCTGAGGTGGGTTTGGTCCCGGGTAAACCGGGAACCGGGAAATAATTTTCGGTTCCGGTTAAAATCGTGAATCGAAATGTTGATTCTTCAATTTCCGAGAACTCGAAACCGAAAACCGAAGTTTCGGCAGCACAAAAATCTGGGAGAGTCCGGAAATATAAGCTCGGAAGACGATTATAGTTTAGGATTTCGGGTAGGCGGAGTCGCAAATCAAGGAAAACTTCTCTCGCCTCGCAGCTCGTGTGAGCATGCTCTATATATGTTATTCATTTGGCGCGAATCACGCACCTTGTGAATCGGTGACTTCGCTCGGAATATTCGATTCCTTCGCTGCCATTCATCGCTCAGGCTCACGGCTCGCCATGGAGCTTATCACTCTGTCCAGAGGAGCTCGAGCCTTCATCCCGAGATCTTTGCGGGGACTCGCCTCCAACTCCAACAACAAAGATCATCATAATGATCATTGTCTATTCTTTCTTCTGGCCAATTCGTTGTTCTGGTGCTCGCGATTCGATAACTTTTCGTATGCTCCTTTCTACTCTCCCACAGACTCGGACGCGAATGTAGAAGACCGCGAGAGGGGAGGGAAGAACAGAGAGGGCAACTCTGAGTTAGAATCTAGCGGAAGTTACAGACGAAAGTCGATACAGAAATCCGGTTCTGGAGAAACAGGTAAGATCCAAGGTCAGACTCTCAGGTGCTTAGGCTTTAAGCTCGAGGCTGAACGCTAGAGCCGGAAGCAGCACCTTTTACGAACTTTGGCTTATTGTGCAAAGTTCGTGCCAGGTGCTTACCCGCGTGGTGGCAGAGTGGTCGGCGCGTTCATCGCTTGCAGCCGTGCGCTATGTTGACGCCGCTATCGTCGGCAAGGTGCCGGGTTCAATCCCCGAGGCCGGCCGAGATTCCTCGTTGGGGAATCGACGTTCCCAATAGAGGAGTAAGGTGAAACGGGATTGCACTATGAGGAAGCAATAGCGGCAACGCTGAACCCCCCCCCCCGCCCGTCACTGAGATAGTGATGAGAAAGAATTATTATTAGGTGCTCGGTGCTTGCGATCCGATGACTTTTCGTATGCTCATTTCTCCTCCCCCACAGACTCAGACGCGAATGAAGAAGACCGCGAGAGGGGAAGGAAGATCAGAGAGGGCAACTCTGGGTTGAAATCTCGCGGACGTCGGAAGAAATTGGATGAAATTCAAGGAAACTTCCTCGGTCGACCCTAAGACCAAATCTTAGGGCAAGCGGAAGCCCCATGCGCCAATGTTCCGCGGAGCGTCACAAAATTTCAATGATACCCACGGTGAAAGTCACGCCGGGTCCCCGAGAGTCTCAGGAATCTCGATTGGAAGCGAACATTAGGCGACCTGTGAAACCGTTGGGCAGTTTCGAAGTGCTCTTAGAAGGGCAGCGGAGATAGCCTAAGTCAAGGTTCGATCATTCCGTCTGCTCGAGAGGTAGATCCTGTCCTCAAAAATAATGAAGCAAGGAAATATTTTTCGTCATGGACTCTTCTCTTTTCTCCTCTCCGCGGTCCTGGGGAAGCAGGCTCGAAGTGAAAATTTCTTGCTTTCCCACCGAAAGCCGATCCTGAGGTCTCGCGTTTTTAAGAGCCACGGAAGGCTCGAGAGCATGGAGAAGGCGAGTCCTGGCGTAAGGCTCGAAATCGCAGGGAAATCGAGTCTCCCTAGATCTGGGAACGACCCTGATTACTCATCGAAGAATCGCTCAGAATTACTACTATTTTGTTGATGCGTGATGAACATCGCCCGAAAATTGCAACGCGTGCTTACGGTTACGGTTCCATGAGCTTCGACCGCTAGACCAATAAGAATTTCGCCAGTGAGGGCCATGCAAGATCAAATACTTCGAGCATGCCAAGTACTCACACAAGCGAGCGGCGAGAGAAGTTCTCCTCTCTTCGGGACTCGGAGACCTTAATTCCCTACGCTCGATCATGCTCTGAGCTCATATTTCAGGCCTCTCCAAGCTTTTTGTGCTCCTAAATTTTCGGTTTTCGGTTCTCAGGGATCGAAAACCAACAAATAGAAATTCCGGTTCCCGGTTTTCGACCGGAACCGGAAAATAATTCTCGGTTTTCGGTTCCACGGAAACTCAGGTCAGACCTCATTTTCGGTGGCACCGAAAACCGAAAATTATTTTTCAAGTTTTTATTACACCGTGGGTCGGTATGTATCTTTTAAAAATAACAATAACAGTAACAACATGTATTGGGGCATGCTCCCATTCTTTTCCTCCGACGGGGTGAGGGGTGGGGGGTGCGAAAACCGAAAATTGAATTTCGGTTTCGATTATAACCGAAAACCGAAAATCGAATTCTTCTCTGATGTCTAGCGTCCCGTTGCAGATCCCGAAGCTGTGTGCGGCGTCATCCTCCTCCCCCGAAGCGCACAGCACGCAAGCCGGCGAGTCCATCTTCCCGATGCGGGACAGGTATTTGGCGAAGGAGCCGTGTCCTGAGAGTAGCTGCGCGAGGGGATACGGGAGGTATTTCCTCGGATACAGGAAAGACACACATGCATGTCGTCGTTGTATTCTACGCCTTCTCTCTTGAGAGTGGTCATCACCTTTTTCTTGTCCAGATGCGCAAGCGTCTTATGAGCGAACATTGGGCTTATCTTGGGTGCCTTGGAACCGATGTCCAAATTGAGACACTCACCACTCGGGGGCCTTTCTTCTATTTCATGAGAGGCTTTCAATATGTATAGATCGTCCGACCGGTCGGTTACAATTGATCCATCGCCTTGAGAGATGGTGAGGCCTGTGGAGTCACATGTGACAACGTAACCATCGTCAGCTGACATACTGACGGAAATCAGATTTCTTCTCATTCTTTTCACAAAAAGAACCTTATTGAGCTCAAGATCCAGCGCACTTTCATCTTTGCGAACAGTCAAATGGGTTGGGCCAGATCCTCCTGCATGTAAAGAACCTGCTCCCCCAATTCGACTTCTCGAGATGTCGCGAATTTCTCGTACGTGACAAACCATTGCTTTTCGTTAACAATGTGGGCGGATGAACCAGAATCCACCACAAACCGGTTATTTTCACTCGTACTCAGATTAGCGTATTGGGCAAGAAATGCTTCAGCTTTATTACGCTAACCTTCTTCTTGAGGCTTCACTTCGCACGACAATTCCACTTTGTGTGACCTTTTCTCCCGCAATTATAAGAGGTGATTTCAGGATCATCGGTCACGACATTGGTGGTCTGTCGGCGATTCCACCTGGAGTTCGGTTTCTTTCCTGAGCTTCCACTGAATCGAGTTTGTCGAAAACCGCGTTCCCGAATTCTCATTCGTGAGAAGAGAGCTTCGGTGTGGTCGACGT